AAAGAAAGTCAAATATAGAAATTGTGTGATTTGATTTCAGCCAAAAATTGAGACCTGGTTAAAGACTAGTCAAGAATGTAGAAGATTCAACCTCTCAGATTTTCACTTTCCACTCTTTATATTCCCGCTTTTAGTTTTGGCTAGGAGAACACGAGAAAAAACTTTAGGGTTTGGAATAGTAGGCTCAATATGAGGCAGGAGAATGGTATGGCTTCCAAAAGGCTTGATTATATCCAGCATAGTTAAAAAAATTATAATGTCTTAGAACTTACAGTTCTCCTTCTCTAAACTGGTCAGACCACACCAAAAGACATATTGTAAAAGTGACACTGGAGTGCATTAAAAGGAGAGAGATTAAGAATGGTTAAGGGATTTGAAAATGTGCCATTTGAAATAGAACTGAAGGAGCTAGAGAGGTTTAGTCTAGAGAAGATAAGATTCAGGGAATATGACAGTTCCCTTCCACTATTTGAAGAGAGATGCTATGTCAGACGGATTTGATTTGCTCAGTATCACTTCAAAGGGTTGAACAGAACAAAGGAGTGAAACTTTGAGGGTTGCATGATATCAGCTAAACATTAAAAACATTTTTCTATCAGCCAGTGCCATTTCAGGATGGAAGGGGCTGCCTCTGAAATTAAAGAACCCAAGCAGAATAGGAAAAGGATGAAAATGGCTGGATGGCCATCTGGCCAGGGTCATATGGAGTAGATTCAAGCCTCTGAATAGGGAGAAATCAGATGACCTTCAAGGTTTCTTTTAATGAAGAAATTCTTTTATTCTATAGTTGTTATAATAAAATTTGCTAGCATTACTAATGTTTAATTAAAACTATTCAGAGTTTTTCTTGGCATCATAGCTTCCTCTTCCCTAGTAAATGTCCCCATGGTAGCAGAGAAAAAAGAAGCAAGGTGTTAGAATTGATAGATCAAAAACCTTTCCAAATTTCCCCAAAATTGTATCATTTCTTAATTCCTTTTAGTTTTACCCAGTAGATCATGTACTCCTTGAAGAGCACTGGACCAGCAATCAAATGCAAGTAACCCAGTAAGTTGGTTTAATTCCAGTCACATTAAATAGGTCTTTCAATTAGGTCAATTAAGTAAGGGGGAAAAGTTGCATTAAAATAGGCCACAGCATCTTAGTACTATACTTTAAACAACTGAGACTTTGCCAGGACTAAGTTAACTGTTAGGAACAGAGAAAATGAGTATGTGAAAGAGTCTGCATTACAGCTATGGAATTAGGGGGTTTTAGGAGAAATGCACCAAAAGCCCAGCCTCCTATGCTGGCAGAAGCCTAGTACTAATTCCTCCAGCTTTTTTTTTAACACCTAGAAGGAAGGAATCATCAGAAGGTTCCCTACATCTTTATCAAACTTCCAACAGGAACCCTGAGTTTTTGGTTCTACCCATAGCCCTCCTGTCTACCTACAAAATTCTTGCCTTTCTCATCCCTGAATTCTACCCTCTCTCGGCCAATTTTAAACCCTTAGGATTAGATAGTTTATTCCATTCTTTCATGCCTGTACAACTCAGTCTGTCCAATTCCCTGGTCGGTCCTTTCTCTACAAAGCCCCATTTTCCTTCTTCCTGTGTTCTCTGGAATTACTCTTCTCTTGTCAAGAAAATATTCCACCCTTTCTAGACACTGAACCCACTTCCTTGCCTTAACTGAAATTTAGTTTTCTTTTTTCTTTGCATCTTTTGCTGCCCTCTCAAAACCCAACGGAAGTGTTTTGCTTTTACTTGGCAGCTTTCTTTCCTTGAAAACCATATGAAATTATACCAATTATCTGGATCACAAGAAGGCATTATGTCATAACATGGCATTCAAGTTTCTCCACAAACTGGATGCAGGCTGCTTTTTCAGGCCCATCTTTCAATAGTCTTTACCATACATCCTACAATCTTCTAAATGCCTTGAATGATAAACCCACTAAGCAGCAAACGCAGCAGGAACTCTTGTACCCTGTGCCTTCACTTCCACTATCCTCTTTGCTTGGTATGCCCTCCTTTTACTCCTTATTTGTATAGAAAAAGCCTACGTATATCTCCTCTCTCCCTTAGTAGTAACTGAAAGCTCTTTAAATAAGAGAATAATGCTTATTTGTCTTTGTATTCCAAGCCTAGACTAGTGCCTAGGACAGGGGAGGTATCTAATAAATAACTATTCAAACAAATGCCAGTTTAGCTTCTGAGGTAAATGAAGTTCTAAACTCTACAGTGGAAACTTGTTATCTGAGGATCTCAGTTTATGAATTACTTCAGCCAATTTCTGGCATGTTAAAAAGCGGGGCTGGACTGGAAAAACAGAATGGAAGCCACATCTCTTTTCTCTTTTTACACTTACATGTACAGGGACAAGTCAGGATTATATAGATACAAACTGCCTTAGGCCTGAAAGCAGACTGAAAGACCTAGTTCCATAGAGTTGTAACTCAGGCTCACTTCTTTCCCACTTTGTCTTGTGACCCTTGGAAAATCTCTGAACTTCAGTTCCTCATTGTTGTTCAATGACATTCTTCTGCTAACATCTACCGACCTCTTAGTATGTGCCAGGCCTTCTGCTAGGTGCTGGAGATGCAAATATGACCAAGCAGAAAATTCCTGTCTTTATGGAACTCAGAGTCAAGCAAGGAAGATAGACAAGTAAACAGACACTTAATGTGTTCATTCGCTCAGCAAATATTTACTATATCTTAAACAAGTGCTCCAATAGCACTGTAGAGGAGTTGCTATGGGAACAGTGAGGAATAAGGACCCAATTCTTCCTACAACTACAAATCCATTGTAAAGGATGAGTAAGAGTTTACAAAAAGGACTAGGAAATCTTGACCATAACAGAGAAGAGAACAATCTGTAATATTTATGCAAAGTTAGAGAAAAGTGACAGAATAAGCCAAATTTTGAGAACTGCAAGTAGTTCAGAATTCTGGAAGATAAAGTGTTATAGGAACTAAAGAAAATGAAGCTAGAGATATTTATAGAGGCAAAACCAAGAAAAATCCTTGGGTGCCTTGCAAGAAGTTTGCATTCACTGTAGGCAATAGAGAACCATTGAAGGATTTTAATTGGGCGAGGGGGAGTCAAATCAGATTTGTAATTCAGAAGATGTGTTAGAGGGGAGTGAAACAGGAAGTAGATCCATGAAGAGCCTATGACAAAATTCCAATTAAAGCATGCTGAGGGCTTTAAGCCAACATAAAAGAGTAGGAGGAGACAAACTTGAATGAAATTTCACTGGTGAATTTGAAAGGATTTGGTGACGGAATGCATGTTGGAGATGAAAGCAAGAAAAAAATCTGCTCAAGTGCTGTGGCCATTGATTTAAATTGGTAATATGGTGGGGTGGATAAGGAAGGAGGCATAATAACTATGGTAAAAATAATAAGTGTCTGAACAAGAAAACACTGCAAGAACAGTATTAATGAATTAAGAAAGAACTGCATCACAGAGTATTGTATATATCTTTCTATATTCCTATCTATCTATCGAATCTATAGTGGGGTTTTTGTTTGTTTTTTTAATGATTGGCTGCCTCTCACAGGCAAGAAATAGACCTTCTCCTGCATAATGTTTCTAGTTAATAGAAGTAAAAGTTATGGTTGTACTATGAGAAATAATTTGGAAATCAGCTCTCAAAATGTATTCCACAAGCATCTCAAGATTTGTGATTAACCTCAAATGAAGCATTTCAGTGTTTCCTCATTGACTTATGAATATAAGCAATGAGTTCCAAGGCTAAAATGAGAAAACACATGGCAAAGCACAGAAGGCTTTGAGTGTTGAATTTCTCAGTCTCATATTTTAAGAGGGACACCCTAGAATAGTGACTAGAGTGTGCCCAGAGAAGGGCAACCAACACAGCAGAGAGTGTGAAACCTGTTATATGGGGGAACTAGGAGTGTTTAGGCTGATAATGAGAAGACTTAAAGAAGTTATGACAGTTGTTTTCAAATGTCTCAAGGGCTGGTGTTTGTTAAGTTAGACTCCTTGGCTCCAGAAGGCAGAGCTAAGTCTACTGGTGCAAGTTGCATGGAGGCAGATATTGGGGTCAATAAAAAGAATAATGCTTCAGCAACTAGAGCAGCCAAACAGTTAAATCTCCTTAGAAGTTAATGAGATTCTCATCACCAGAGATGTTTAAGGAGGAATGAGATAACCACTCGATTAGAGTATTTATAGAGAGAAAGCTTATGTTAGGTAAGATATATTCCCATTCTAAAATTATACATTCCAGAATTTTATGGAGTAACACCCTAGGGTTGGGTGTGGCTAAAATTTTCTACATGGCATGGTGCCTATAAATCTGGGCATAAAGCTCATCATTTAAGCTTATAGTTATGTCAACTTAAATACTATTCTACCTTTGTCTAGCCGTGTCCTTGGTGTTAAATTCCTACTATTGGAACTGTTTGTGCATTAGTGCTTAAATTTATCTGTCAAGATTGTGTATTATGAGTTGCCCTTGCCCTTACCACCACCCCCCCCACCCCGCCACTCTCACCACATAAAAAACTTTAGAAGATGAGGCTTATCTTCCATAGGACTTTAGGCAAATGGGACTGAGAGTTTATTTTTACTTCCTTCTCCCTGTGGTATAAAGCCTCTTTGTTATTAAGAGTACAAGTACAGGTGTGTCTCCCACCTTCCCCCTGCCCTTTTACTTTGTACCTCATTTTCCATATACTTTTAAGGCCATTTATCATGTCCTCATTTCATTTCCCAAATGAAAGTCTATGTTAGGGAGGAGGCAGTTATTGGTTGGTAGCAGGAGAAATATCTCCCAAAGACAAAGAAGAATAGAGTAAGCTACTGATGTTGATATCCTTATACGGTGCGGGTGGTAGAGTAATGTGATCAGGTGAAGGCATAACCTTGTTGAGTACAGAAAACAAGCCTGTATTTCTTTGAATTCTCCCTAGCATAGTAATTGTTAATAGGGTTATTGTCCTACTGAGGTAATTTTACACTTAAAATTTTGATTTTTCTCTTTAGGGCTAAAGACATTGCCCTCACAAAGTGAGATGATGAAAGATATAGCTAAGGCTCAAGAGGAAATGGCAAAAAGGTAAGAAATTCTCCCAGGAAGATATATGGTTAATTTTTCTACTTATTTAGTTCTTAATGAGAGCAATATTGTACTGTATTTACCTTTCTCGTGTTAGCTTAAGGATTTAGATTATATTTTGAAGGAAAAGGAAATAATAGTTTGTGACAATGGAATGAAGAAAGAGCACCAAGTAGTTTGAATATGGAAGGGAAAGGAGAGAAAAGCTTAAGAAAAGAATCTAAAATCTTATGTTTAGGGCTTAAAAGAAAAGCCAAGTAGGAAAAAGCACATGGAGAGAAAACCAGGTGTATTGTTTTTGAAAGGATTCCTTCATGTGCTAGCAGAGCTTCCAGAGAAAGGAAACGCGACAAAGAATTAATGCACGGTAGATATGGTTGAATTACAAATCTGTAGGTAGATTTACAAATCTACAGAGCCCACTTTGCTGGCTGTCATCATATGACAGCATACTCAGGTTACAGCAGCTTGTGGTATGAACAGTCTATGTGATTTGGGAAGGTGGTAACATCAGCCAGTGGCTTAGTGCTTAGATGGACACTGTAATTGAGCAGTCCGAATTTCAGAACTTGAGCTTCTTCACTGGGTGATTTTTATTTGGACAAAATGCAAGTTGATGGTAATTCCTAAATTTTTGTGGAAAAGTCAGAGGCACAATCATTCCAGGCCCAAAGAGGTGGTTTTCTTCATTGCCTATACCAGCATAACTCCCCCCTATCTGAGAGGAGAAAGAGAGTTCTTTTTTAATCCTGATACCTATGCCGGGGCTCTCCTTCTTTTCACTGCCAAACTTCTACAATAAATATTCTACAGTGTATGCTTTAAATTCTCACCCTTTTCTCCCTCCTAAGCACCCTCCTGCATTCTAACTTCCATCCTTACCTCTGAAACTGCTCTCTTGAAGGTCATCCATGACCAACTTCATTTTCCTTCTTCTCAGCACTGAGTTTGGGGCTTTTACACATCTCTTCCATCTTCGAGTGCTTTCTTTCCTTGCTTTTCCGACACTAAACTATCCTATTTCAACTTCCCTCCTCTCTTTCCTTTGACTTATTTTGTCTATCTTCTGATTGTGAGCGGTCACCAAGGATATAATTTAACCTTTATTGAGGGTCAACTATGTACACACACTGTTTTATATGCATGAGTTCCTTTAATCCTCGTAACAACCCCACCAGGTAGCTACTAGTGAATCTCTTGTGAAACTTTCATGAATGCTATAGGTCCCAATCCTCTACTATAGGATAAATACATGCCCACAAACCTTTGAGCCAACAAAACATCCATACGGGAAAGCTCTCAAATTCTTTCCTGTCTTCTCTTCTCTTCTAAACTTTAGTCCCATTTCAATACATTCCTAATTGACCATCTATCTGTTCCTCTGGAATTCCATCTCATCAATTCTATCTCAAATTTATTTTCTATAATTATTTTCCTGTCCTTGTTTTTGGATTCCTTTAGTAAGCACACCTAATCTCAAGTAGCTTGACTTGGCTTTTCTCTTACTTCCTTTCTGTCGCACTGTTCTTTCTTTTATTTTCATTATAGAAAGTAAAAAAGAGAAAGTCCCCCGTTAGCTCGCTAAATCTCACTCTGTCCACAGCATCACTGTTACCACATCTTTCCTCTAAAAAGTCCTTTCAGCTCTTCAAATCTTCACTTGGTATAATCATTCCATCTGGGTCTGTTTGGAGGGCCACTTCCTCCTGTAGGACAAGTCATCCTCCCCACTCCTTTCAGGATTCCAAATTAACATTGGCCCTGGGATGTCCTGCTCCAGGGACCCCACCACCACTGTCTTCTGAAAACAATTGATGATCCCAAACTTGAGACTTTTTGTGGTGGCTTCTCTCTGATAACATCAGAGTCCTCTGTATCTGATCTGCTATATTTGCCTCTCTACAGCCAGCCTTGTTTTCCACAAAATGCCTCCTCTACGGTAGGTAGTGCTCACAGATATTCTATGTTCATTCCTGCTTTATTCCTTCACTCTGCTGTTCCCCTGACTTGTAACTTTCCCCTTTGTTCTCAGTTTATCTTTATCTTCCACATCCTTCAAGGATTTGTGATAGCTCTGTTTTAACTACCCTCTTCTACATTTCTATTAAGCACTCTAAAACCACACGATTTAACAAAAGTCTTATATTTTTCTCTCCTTCATGTGAATCTAGCTTATCTCCTCCAGTAGATGATAAGGTCCTTAAGGATAGAGACAATATCTTTCTTTCTTCCCTATTTTCCACAGCTCCTAACCCAATATTGAGCCAATAATAGGCACTCAGAAAACATTGATTAACTGATTGATTGATTGATTGAGTTGTTGATGGGCCATGGCTTCTGTCTTCTCTGCTTCAGGTATGTGGAGAGCCAACGTCATACCATTCAAGGAGACTATATGGATACCATGGAAGAGCTTGCTGATCTGGTGGGTGTCAAGCCTAATCTGTTGTCTCTGGCCTTCACCGACCCCAAATTGGCATTACAATTATTACTGGGACCCTGTACTCCAGCCCAGTATCGTCTACAGGGCCGTGGAAAGTGGAATGGAGCTCGAAAAGCTATCCTCACCACAGAAGATCGCATCAGGAAGCCTATGAACACAAGAGTCATTGAAAGCAAAAGTTCCATGACTTCGACAATAACAATGGCCAGGCTCATGCTGGCTGTTGTTTTCTTTGCTATAATTATCACCTATTTTTAGCTGTCCCATTGTCATTGCCCTAGTTTTCTTTGGGAAGCTGCATCTAGAGATGCCTTCAGAATCTGATGAAATTGAACTCTCAGCTTCACATTGCTCAGAAATCTACTTTTATTTCTCTTTCTGAAGCATTAATCTTCTTTCCTCTTTTCCCTACAGTGAAATCCCAGCTTTTCATTCATATGGACTTACTGTCCTTCCTCTTAGGACTTATCACTTTTTCCTTCCAGCAATGCCTGGACTGTGAGCTCAGGTACCCTTTCAGTCATCTTTGTATGTCCTTAGCAGAGTTCTTGACATGTGGTAGGTGCTTAATAAATGTTTGCTCTCAATTATCAAATATTATGGTGGAGGACATAAGTCAATATCTGTAAAAGAAATGGATGACTCCATGTAACTCTGCTTCTAAATTCATTGACTCTCTCATTCTACTTATAATATGCAAAGTTACAAAAAAATCATTGGTTAACTTCTAAACCAAGCTATATAATTAAGATGTGAATAGGAAATTGAACTTAAAACAACTCAAGATACAAAGCCTTAGGTACTAATGAATGTGTACTAATACTGATCAATCTGCCATATCTTGCTTTTATAATTATATTTGTCAATGCAAATAATCCATAATAAATCTGTAAATCAAAATTGGAATGAGTTTATTATGAACCAGATCTGATGACTAGCCTGGAGCCTGCCTTCCTTCACAAACAAGTGGGGTGTACAGAGTGCTTATATACTGTCTTGGAACAAAGAGCATGTATCACATACAATAGGTATGTCCCTTTTACAATAGTCATGAGATTGCTTTGCCAGCACAGCAATTCGGTGAACACAGCAGGTCGATGGTCACAAGGTGAGTGCAATTAATCCTTATTTTAGGGAGAGATGCTTATCCTTAAAGAAATGCCAATGTAGGGGAAATTACATCCTTATCTTTAAGGGCCTTGTTCTTGTCTTTGGGACATAGTAAATATTTAAAGGAGATAAACAATGCGTGCTCAACAAGCCATGCCAAGCCCTTTTCGAAAAACAAGGACAGGTCAAATTAGTTTTAACCCAAACGACTTCCTCATATACTCCAATATATCCTATTGCTTTTCATTTATTTATCATATTACAAGGTTATAACATTTTCCCAATTATATTATACAAAAAGATGCATTCTTTAATGCCAGAAAGTAAGGAAGTTTCAAAAAGCAAACTGTTGGGGGTATGTCAAAGGGACACAGGAGCCAACTGAAAGCGGTCCCAATGGCCAAAGCCGGAATAACTTGAGCAATAAAATAATCTAGTATTGGATTATAGCATAAAGTATAAAAAATACTCATGAATCCATACTGATATAAATAAATTATTGAATAAATTAATAAGTGGGGTAGAATAGACAAACCTCCCATACAGAAGAATCCCAAACAATTTATGTAGATACTCTGCCCTCAAGGAGATGGAGCATAACTCCTCACTCCTTAAGTGTAAGTTATGTAGAATGATTTCCTTCCAAAGAGAACAGTATGGAAAGGGGGAAAAATAACTTCACAGCAGAGAAATCTGACAAACACTACCCCAGCTAGGTGACCAAGATTAACATTAACAGTGAAGTCACGCTGGTAGTATGTACCCTTGATATGGCGTGATGAGAAGGGCATATTACCTTTGTGGTCCTCCTCCCAAAAACCATAACCCTATCTAACCATAAGAAAAACATCAGACAGACCCAAGTTCAGGAATATCTTACAAAATACCTGACCATCTCAAAACTGTCAAAATCATCAAAAACAAGAAAAGTCTGAGAAATTCTCATAGTATAGAGGAGTCTAAGGAGACCCGATGTCTAAATGTAATGTATCCTGGATGGGATCCTGGAACGTAAAATTAAGTACATACACAAAATTATATAAAATTAAGTAAAAATTAAAGAAATAGTAATAACCTATGGATTTGGGTTAATAACAATGTACCAATATTGGTTTATTAGTTGTGACAAATGTACTACACTCATGTAAGATGTTAACAATAAATGAAATTGGATGTGGGGTATATGGGAACTCTGTACTATCTTTGCAACTTTTTTTAAATCTAAAACTATTCTAAAATTTAAAAATTAAAAAAAATGAATGTATTCTTTTGGTTCAGGATTTGACCCAGAACCACAATCTACTGGAATTTTCTCAGTGGAGGAAGAATATTGGATGGACCATTCATTTAAATTACCATGTTTTCCCTTGATTACTCTACAAATTAAATTGTTCTAATACAGCATAATATAATTTACTAAAGTAATTTTGTTTCCTCTGCTGAATATGTATAGACTACAACTATAGAGTGGAGAAAATGGTGATACAAGGTCAAAAGACATACCTTAAAATCACTTGCATAAGTTCTTTCTTGTAGCTGAACATACTGAACCTATAGTCTCCGCTAGCAAAATTTATGGTATATTAATGGCAAGTACATTCATAAATGAGATCGTTTTACTTAATACTGGGTCTGTGCCCTGTTACGTTTGGCAATAGTAATACAACATAAAATAGTATATAAACATCCTCTAGACTGACTACTCGGAATTTTCCGAAGTGCTGGGTTTTCCCATGCTTCTATACATATTCTCATGCTGTATCCTCCTCTTGGTGAATTCTCCACTTGCCCAGCTGGCTAGTACCTATTTCGCCCTCAAGATTCACTTCATCTGTTATCTTCCAGGAATCTGTTCCTGATCCCCAGTATGAAATATGTGACTTTCTTTTGTGCTTTCATTGCACCTGGTATACTGCTTAATTATATTTGGTGAATATCTTTGTCACTCTATATAATATCAATTGGTTCTCTCACCTGTTTCCTCCTCAAACTAGTAAATTTCTTGGAGGAAGATACTTTGTAATTAATCTATATGTTCCTAGTGCTGCCTAAAACATAGTAAGACCTCAGTAAATTAATGATCAATTGAATGAATCAATTCAACATGGGAGGTAAGAATATGAATGAGTTTTTAAAGGACTAAATAAAATAATGAATATACCTTAATAAAAATAAATAATAGTGAATAATACTTTTATAAAAAGTGATTAAGGAGTGCTTAACATTTTGAAATGTCTGTGGGGCAAGCATGTTATTCTAGAATAAATTCTGGAATACATCATCGATCTGAGTCAGTATGTCATCTCTAATGTTCTGTTTGGTTTGAAACAAAAATGATATGTCCTGTCTATAGTTTATTTCCTCAATCAAACACAAGATTTAAAAAGTCAGTATCTTAACACAGGAAAGAAGGTCAGGTAAATGTCTGCCTTGATCCTCACTGCTGCTTTGATCCTCATTGCTGTTTCTCCCTGCTTTCTCAAATTTCCCGTCTTCTTTGAAGCACCCACTACCTCTCCTGTTTGAAGTTATTTACAGACCTCCTGTTTACTCTTCATTCAGTGAAGGTTTTAGCACCAGGCTCTCTGCCTCTCTCTCTATATAAATAACTACTTCTATAGTTGATTTTAACATCTATGTAGGTAATACTTTCACCAATCCAACTTATTAGTTAGAATTAGGTTCAGCTGCATGCAGTAGAAAAACCCACAGTAACAATGGCTTAAACAAAACTGAAGTTTATTTCCCTGTCATATTAAAAAATCCAGAGGAAGATAGTCCTGAGATGGTATAATAGCTTCTCTTTCTGCCCCACTATCAGAATGTGGCTTCTACCTCACAGTCCAAGATGGCTGCTGGAGCTCTAGCTGTTATATGGACATTTTACACAGAAGGAAAGAGAAATGTAGAAGAAAGGCACACCCCTTTTCTTTTAAGGAGACTTACTAGAAGTTCCGTATAATACTTCCATTTAGATCTCATTAGAAGAACTTAGTCACAGACATCTAGCTATCAGGGAGGCTAAGAAATGTGTCTTTATACAGAGAGGCAATGTGGCCAGGTAAAAATCAAGGTTCTGTTATTAAGGAGGAAGGGAGAATGACTATGAGTATTGAGGTAGACCTCTAACACTCTCTGCCACCTTTGTTCAATGACCTTCTCACTCCAGTGATTTAATGATCTACGTCACCTTATCTACCTACACCCATGGTCATATCTAAGACATTGTCATTACCGATAACTCCACCACCACCAAAAATCTCAACTTCAAGCATCCCACTCTCCAAAACCATCTCATCTTTTCAGCTCATTCATTCCAACTCCAACAGTTCTTTGGCTCCACTGGGCATTCCGTCAACCTGCTCTGTCTTTGCTTCCTAGAACACCTGGTTTAAAATCCATGGTCTAACGTTATAATCACACCCTACTACGCATTCTCAACTTCTTTGCCCCACCCCCCACACTTGCTTGGCTAAACTTCACCTTTGGTTATATGCCTGCACTAAAACAGCTAATATGGCAAGAGAAAAATACCACTATGCTGACTTAACATCTTAAATTCATGATGACTAAACCTAAGCGGGCCGTCAGTGCTACCTGCCAATCTCACTTCATTTTGTAAGTCTATAATTTTGGAGAAAGACATTTTCAGTGAATGTTTGGTTATAAGTGTCACTATAGACACTTATGTGTCTACACGTTGGGTTTGGGGTCATACCTATTTGGAGTTATAGTGGTTTCCTTGGAGATTTCAAGGTTGTGAGCAACTCCAGAGCAGGGGCTGCTCAGCAAGGGCCCAGCAAGTACCAGGTCTGCCATTAAGGTTTGTTAAAATAAATGGACTATACATATCATTTCAGGAAATACTGGTTAAATATTTAAGCTAAGCCTCATTTATAAAATGAGATATGATCATCTGTTCGTCCTACCCTCACAGCGTGGTTTTGAGGATAACATGATACAAGTCATATCCAAATCCTTTGGAATCTGAAAGACAGAATTATGATAATACGTGGGGAAAATTCTGGACCCTTGCATTTTGTCCCTGTTCCTTTGGGTGGGCAGAATGTAAGAACTTCACTACTACTTCTCAGCCTGTATAAAAACTATTAAAAAAAATAAAAAATAAGAAACCACAAAAGATCCTGAATAGCCGAAGAAATCTTGAGAAAGAAGAACAAAGCTGGAAGTATTACACTTCCTCATTTCAAACTATATTACAAAGTTATAGTAATCAAAGCAGTATGGTACACAGTCGTAGCCAGAGCAATTAGTCAGGAAAAAGAAATAAAAGGCATCCAAATTGAAAAGGAAGAAGTAAAACTATCACTATTTGTGGATGATATGGTTTTATATAGAGGAAACCCTAAAGACTCCAGCAAAAAACTGTTAGCACTAAAAATGAATTCAATATACAAAAATCTGTTGTGTTTTTATATACCAACAACAAACTATCAGAAAGAGAAATTAAGAAAACAATCCCGTTTACAGCTGCATCAAAAAGAATAAAATAACTAGGAATAAACTTAACCAAGGAGGTGAAAGACTTGTACACTGAAAACTATAAGACACTGATGAAAGAAATTGAAGAATAATAAATAAATGGAACAATAACAAATAAATGGAAAGATATTCCATGCTCATGAATTGGAAAAATTAATATTGTTAAAATGTCTATATTACCCAAAGCAATCTACAGATTCAATGCAATCTCTCTCAAAATTCCATTGGTATTTTTCACAGAAATATAACAAACAATCCTAAAATTTGTATGGAATCACAAAAGACCC